CTGCCTGAGAGGAGACTCAAAGCCAAAGCACAGATCAGCAAGGCCAGCGAATTTAAGTGTATCCCCACAGGCTGCTGGAACTTCATCTGGGTGCATTTGTTTTTATAAGCATGGGCACTGCAGAGTCATTTAAACACATGTGCTTGCCAGTGCAGAACATCATCGATGGCAGCAACCACCTGGTGCTGGCCACGACCGAGGAGGGAACACATCAGGTTAGTGTGGGCCAACCCTTCCTGCACTGAACAGGAGTGGCAGGGTGGGGCGGGGGAGGGTGGTGAGATGCTAGATTTTTAGTGGGAAGGATAAGGAAAGCAGTCCTGAAATGTTTTTCACAGAAATAGAAACTAGTGAAATACAAACTGGCATTTGACTACTTTAGAAAAAAAGAGAGGAGGGTAATAGGCAGGAAGGTGATTGGCTGCTGCTGCCAAACTAAGGAACTTTTAAAATTTTGTTTGTTCCCCCAAAGCAGTACATGCCCAAACCACCAAGAGAGGGTAAGTGATGACAAGCAGATCTGCAAGTCGGGGCCCTAGTCACAGTAGCAAGCACCCTGTCGCACAACAGCTTTGCAAGCAGCAAAGCTGCAGCTTCTGCTACAGGACATGCGCGCGCACACACACACACACACACGGCCCATCCTCCTCAGCCTAGATCCCTGCCTGCACAGAGACCATTCCAGCTGCATGCAATAATTAGGCAAGCAACTTCTAACCCAGCATAGGGGACTCAGAAGAGATAATGCTTAATTTTTTTTGCAAAGTCTTCTTAAGGATCCAGGGACATGTACCCCAGGTGGAGAATGCTTTCCCAGAAGCAGAGCCTGTTTCTCCAGCCTGAGTGTGTGTGCTACAGAGCTGGGGACTCCACCCTGTATCTACAGTAATTGCTGTATCTAATGGTGTGGTACTGCTGACTTCCTTACCAGCTGTAGCTTTCTGTTGTCCGACCCTGTTATTACTGGCTCCTGCTTTATTTTAGGGATGTTAACCTGCTCATATGTGTCTGCTAGTACGTTGCGGGTAAACTCCAACTTAAAGGCTCTTCAGAGAAGGGCTTCATCAGTTTTCCTTTTACAGGCCTTTACTGCATCTGTTTTGTCCAGTTCCTCTCTCTTCTTCCTCTCCTTCTTTCTGCCTGATCAGAGCAGGGGATGTTAGCTTTTCTTAGGGACACCGTAGAGCCAGCCAGTCACAATATATAAGAATATGTTGTTCTAGGAGCCTGCCCCTAGGTCACAGATTCAGACCTGTGGAAACAGCCTAGGCTATTCTGAAATTCTCCCAAGTGGGGTTCCAGTATTCAGCCTCCAGCTAAGCTCCATCCTTGTGGGCTGTAAGTTGGAATGAGTAAATAGGCCAGACATCTAATCCTCCCTGTGCCAGCATCCCACCTGGATGGCATGGTGGAGAAAGGGGAGCATGGGGACCCAACTCATTCACTATCAACAGGTCTTGTTCATTTCTTTTCTCTAGAAAAAAGCAGCACTTCTGTCTGTGAGAGGTGGATGCCAAGGCCCCGTACATTGCAAGCACACTTTCCTCCTCTGCACAGAGCGCTGTCTTTGCTGCCCTGTCTGTGCTATGGACCTACACAGTGTAACAGAAACCCACCAGGGGCTTAGGTGTTCTTTCATCTTAGTAGTTCCAATATCCTCAACCACTATAGTTAAGATGTCTACATGGCAAGTTAATTCAGGCATAAAACACAATGTGGGCAGGATATGTGGGTGGGCTCCAGCCAGTTCTGGTGGCTGCTTGGACCACTTCACAGAGACTTGTTCCAAGGAACAAGGAGAGGGCTTTGTGAAGTGCTTCAACTCTCACTGAAATGGCTGCTACCAGAGGTGATTTTTCACTGCAGGAGGATTTGGGAATAGCAGTAGGGGACAGGAGAGTACAAAGCCAGATTTTATGTCCGGCCCATTTTGACCAGTTTTGTGGCCTTGCGTGTCTCCGAGGTCCAGTTTCCTTATCAATTACAGTGAAGATTGAATATAGCCTATAGAACCATAGTGAGGTTCACATCACACAGCGTGAGAAGTCATTTTGTAAACTGGAAAGCACCACAAATAAAAAGAGGCTATTGTTATTGGGCTCATTATTCTGAGGCAGGAGAACCAAGGTATATATAGCAGGTCAGGCACGGTGGTTCACGCCTGTAATCTCAGCACTTTGGGAGGCCGAGGGGGGCAGATCACGAGGTCAAGAAATCGAAACCATCCTGGCCAACACGGTGAAACCCCGTCTCTAATAAAAATACAAAAATCGGCTGGGCGTGGTGGTGTGCACCTGTAGTCCCAGCTATTCGGGAGGCTGAGGCAGGAGAATTGCTTGAACCCGGGAGGAAGAGGTTGCAGTGAGCTGAGATCGCACCAGTGCACTCCAGCCTAGCGACAGAGCGAGACTTTGTCTCAAAAAAAAAAAAAAAAAGAAAAGAAAAGAGAAGCATTAGATATCACACAGTCTGAGATGCTTGGAGAACAACACAAGCCTCTGTAGATCCGCCTAGGATCTTTCTTCTGGAATGTTCTGTGATGACAACGGCAGAACAGGGAGGTGGGGGTGGCGGTATGCAACACTGCCCTTGTTAATGATAAAATGGCCAATTCTCCAATTCTATCAGCTGTGATAGAACTCAGCCCAAATCATCTTATTGCTAACCCTCAAATCACCTGATTAATTCCCAACTCTTTGGAAAGACGATGTAGTGTTAAGAGCACGAACCATGCGACCAGGATGCCTGGATGTTAGCCCATCTCTGTGTCCCTCTAACTAGAGGATTTGAAGTAAGAGACATGGCTCATCTGTGTTTCAGTATACCCATCTGTAACACGGAGATGATAACACTGTCTACTTCATAGTGTGAGAATAAAATGAAAAAGAAATGGAAAGTACTTTGGGAAACTTCTGACACGTATTAATAGTAAACTAAGTGTCACTACTATTGTTTTCCAATAAAATAGTCCACTCTTAAAAAACAAAATGTGTGTTCTAATTTGTGGGAGGAGATGGGTTCTTCAGGCACGATGAAGAATGGAGTTCGAATTGACTTCAAGAAATTCAGTCCCTCCTCCTCCACTCTAGTGTGAAGGGTCTGCCATGCCAAAATAAGATTACAGAGTCCCATGGAGCTATATAGTGTGCATATGTACATTGATAACCTGAAAATAAAGAGTGGTGGCATTTCCTCTCGGTGGCAGAGCCCAGAACTAGATAAAAACAGGCTGTGAGGCTGAATTTGGGCTCCTCCATCAACTGCTGTGTGACCATGGATGCCTGTCGTCTCTTTGTGCCTCTCTTCCTAAACATGCGATGGAATAACAATAGAGCCTGCCTTCTCGGGTTGTTGTTTAGGGCAGTCACTGAAGAGCTACACAGAAAAACCCAGCTATGATTGTTATCAGGATACCATTTGCCATTACCCAGCCTTGTGATTTGGGATTCGGAGAAACTGTATAAATTTCATCTTTCAAGTTAAAGTGGAAGAACCAAAAGCTAGCTAAATCTAACCTACAGCCATATTTTTGTTAAAGACAAGGAAAGGAAATGGCAGATCATCACAATCGAGTTATTTGGTCATACAGTATGACCGTATCTACGATCATCAATTTATGTCACTTTTTTAAAAATCACAAAAAATTGTGTCATGTGAAATTATTTCAATTACAAAGCATTTCCATACATAAAAGCTCAGTCCCCTTTAGACATTCCTCAATTTTTACAAATAAACTGACCTGGTAGGCATGGGTGTTCCTAGTCTTTGTTTTTAACATCAGATATGGAGGATAGGGTACTAAACAATGTCTACTGACTCTGGTCACTCTGAAGTGCCACTTGTTTTTTCAGTTTTGCTAGAACTTGGCACACCTTCCTATTAAGAAGCAATGTAACTTCAAGGATTACTCATCAGAATGTTTGCACAAACTCATAAGTGGCAAGAACTGAAAATGCCGTGTGATTTTTAAAGTTTTAAAATAGTCCTATGGGGCTGGTGACCTCAGTCAGGTCAGCCATCGAGATTGGGATCTGACAATAAAGTCATAAAGTGAGTCAACTGAGTCAGGATGCAACAGCACTGTTTTTCTCTTCTGGCTCCTCTAGCAAAGCAAAAGTTTTGGTGTTAGGGCTGTCTCTTCAGGTAGTGAGTTTGGTTTCCAGCATGCTGGGAGCAGCTCTGGAGAACGCTGAAAAGCAGAATAGGCTGCCAGCGTCCAAGAACCGGTATCAGTAAAGTTAGCATAAGATTTAACAGACTGGAACGTAACCGCCCAAACCATTTCTCCAGCCTGATAATCCAGGGCAATGAAGAGAAATTTTCCTGGCATTTTTAGCATTTTAAGTTTCAACTGGACAAACATAGAAGTATATAACGATGTTATCCAGACCTTACCACTGTTTGTTTTTGAGACTCTAATATTAAAGACTGGCCTAGCACAGCAGGTATGTTTGCCCTTGCCTGAGAGGAGGCAGCAACTTGGGAGGAAACAGGGTCTTTGGAGTTACTGGGCTTCCACAAGGATCCTCAAGGTTTGCAAACACCAAACAGACAGGACTCCACCCCTGATGTGCAGGCCAGTCCTTCCTCCTTCACAGTGACGTGCCAACATCATGGTGCAAATTTGCAAACATTTTTTTCCTTATTAAGAAAATTATTCAAACCTAGAAAAATGCAAGGGTTAAAGGCTTGCTTTCATAAACATAGCCTGTGTGTATTGAGGGGTGACTTTTACATATTACACAGAAAAATGCAGTAAAAAGTGCTGAAGTAGCCCATTCTGTTCCATTGAATTGTGAGGCAATTATGGTCATCCCAGCCTTAGTAAATTAAAGTACATGATGAAATCCCAATCTAAGGATATCAACTGTTATGTTACTAAATAATCTATACATCCTATTTAAAAAGCATTTAAAATTGTGTCAAGAGAGGTTATGTTGAAGAGGAACTATAATTTAAAAATCATTTACTGTACATTTAAATTTTAACTTGAAGCTAAATGTTGCAAAATTAAATCAATTTTATTTGATAACATGAGACAGTTTATACCCCTTCATTTTCGGGTTGATGGAGCCCCTGACACAGCCTTGGATTTAAGACCCCTACCTTATAGGAACACTTAAGTCTTGACCCTAGCACACTCTCTCATCCTGGAAGAGTTATTAAAGTTAGACGTGTTTTTCACTGTTTTTTTTTCTTAGCCACTTTTCTATCCCAAGCCCAGCAAAGACATTCAATTCATTCCCCCTACACCTCTCCCTCTCTTTCCTCCCTCCCCTCTCTCCCTCTCTTTTCCTCTCTTTCTCTCTCCCTCTCAAGTTTCTAAATCAGTTCCTACAGTTTTAGTTTTCTTTTTTCTAAATTTAAAAATGTGGCTTCTGACTATAAAACGAATCCCCTACCTTCAGCAGCCCCAGTCCCCTGGGGCTGTTACTGGCGCGATCTGTAAGTTAGCTGGAGGCACTTAGAGCCCTCAGTTAGCTGTTAGTCAAACATTAGCAGCAGTGTTTACCCTTGTGTAATCTGCAGTTGTTACTTAATTTAATGCCCGTCAGCATTTTTTTTTAAAGAACATGTCCAGCAAATCCCTGGCACAGCCTGTTTGAATTCCTTACTCTTCCCTTCACCCACCTTGACCCAAATCAAGCTAAATGCATCTGAGTAGAGGCTTGCTAATATTTTTAATTTGCTAGTGTAGTTTTCCTTCTTCTTGGAGAAAGAGTTTGCTTTCTGTGCCAGTCCAACTATATCCTACTCAGAGGCCTGGGCTTCGTGTCCCTACTGCACCTCACATCAAAGAGGGTGAACTGTAAATTGTTAGGGTGTTTGTTTCTTGTTGCTCTGGCAGTGATCTGTGAGTGATGTAAGATGAGAAGCATCCTCAGACTCCCATTTGGAGGATGCTGGTGTGGCCCCCTGAAGAAAATCCATTGAAAACAAACTTTGAAGTGCTGCCCAGTGGAGAGCTAAATGCTGAACATATCACATCATAATTCATACATAACTTTGTGTGTTTTGAATCTTTCTCCTCCACGGCCACCACCTCAAATGCAAATAAATAGAGCCCTGGCCTTCCTACAGGGTCCTGGTGCTCCTTTCATAATGTGAGACCCATCTAGATCCAGCAGGAGAACTTCTCTAAGGCCATGATAAAGGCAGTAGGAAGTACTGATTTCAAACTCCTCCAAAAAAGGATGAAGCACATTGTCAGAGAATAAGAAGTCAGGGGAAAATTAAAAGGTGATCTTCAAAGGCTGCAATGAACAGCTCCTCTCTGCTTTCACACACTGTGTAAGAAGACTTCCTTCAGTTCAGGAGGCTTTGGTTAATAGCCACATTCTCAATATTCTAGGTTTCAAGGCCAAGAAAATAAATGTCACAGTGGAAACCTCATGCTTTTTCAGGTGATATAATACAAAAAATGTGTACATCTCAATACGATAAAGGACTCTGAGTCAGCCAGGGCTCAACTTGCTATTCTGTTCCTTTCCTGCAAGACTTGAACTAGAGTTTCAGTGTCTCTCAGCTGCACTTCTGCTTCCCAGTGAACAGAAATCAGGATTCCCTTCCATTTACCGCTAGGGAAAACCCAACTGCTGAGGACCGTAAATGTCAGGGATCACCCTATGAGTCTCACAGATGGCACCTGAAGAGGAGCAGTATGGAAACACAGGACACGAGGAAGGAACAGAGGCCCTGAGGATGGAGGCTCATTTGACTACTGCAAATGAACAAACACTAAAACAGGCATTTTGCACTCTCAGGCAGGGAGTTCCAGGGCTGAGTCCACATGGAGTCCATGGTCAGATTTCCAGGAAAGCTTCAGTGAGGGGCTGAATTATGTGCCGTTAACACAAGACACACCCATCCTGGGAGTCAGTGTATCTGTCTGAGTTCAGGTTACAAGTGCACACTGGCAGTCTATGGTTGGGGGCCAGTGTCACTGTCCTGAGTTTTCCAAAGCAGTCCAGGAGACACATACATCCCTGTCTTTGACTCTGTTCTTCCTCAAGCCCAGCTCTGTGATATTACTACCAAGGCTCCAAAAGGCAGCTGTTTTGCTACAGAAATTATGAATTAGTTCTACAACCTTCTTGAACCATCTAGAAAGTGCTCAAAGCACAAGGCTGCACAGATAAGGACTTTAAGGCTCAACTCACTCCCAGATAATGTTAGTGGCTCTTCTCAGCAAGAACATGTGCCCAGGTCCCAGTAGCACTATTGAAAAAGAATGGGTCCCTCTTTATTCTATTTCCACTGCTGAGTGGCCCCATCATGGGCATGCAAGGTTTCTTCTGCCATTTTCCTTTCACAGCTCTCATCAACTGCCTCTTCCATTTCCCTGTCTTGCACAATCTCAACCCAACTTACTTATTTAACAGCACTAATTGTTCTGTTCTTATGGACAGTGTGTGCCTTTAGACTTCCTCCAAGGAGAGAGTGCTTGACAAACATAAAATGGAAATCTTAGGAACACTTTTACACTGTTGGTGGGAACGTAAATTAGTTCAACCATTAAGGAAGACAGTGTGGCAATTCCTCACAGATCTAGAACAAGAAATACCATTTGACCCAGCAATCCCATTACTGGGTATATACCCAAAGGAATAAAAATCATTGTATTACAAAGATACATGCACATATATGTTCACTGCAGCACTATTCACAATAGCAAAGACATGGAATCAACCCAAAGGCCCAACAATGATAGACCAGATAAAGAAAATGTGGTATATATTTTGTTTTTACACTGTTGGTGGGAATATAAATTAGTTCAACCATTGTAGAAGACAGTGTAGCAATTCCTCAAAGATCTAGAAGCAGAAATACCATTTGACCCAGCAATCCCATTACTGAGTATATATTCAAAGGAATATAAATCATTTTATTACAAAGATACATGCATGCATATGTTGACTGCAACACTATTCACAATAGCAAACACATGGAATCAACCCAAATGCGCATCAATAACAGGCTGGACGAAGAAAATGTGGTACATATATACCATGGAATACTATGCAGCCATAAAAAGGAATGAGATCATATCCTTTACAGGGACATGGATGAAGCTGGAAGCCATTATCCTCAGCAAACTAATGCAGGAAGACAAAACCAACCACCACATGTTCTCACTTATAAGTGGAAGCTGAACAGTGAGAACACATGGACACATGTGAGGGGAACATCACACACTGGGGCCTATTGGGGCATGAGGTTAGGGGAAGAGAGCATTAGGACAAATAGCTAATGGTTGCTGGGCTTAATACCAAGGTGATTGGTTGATAGGTGCAGCAAATCCAGCAAATCACCATGGCACATGTTTACGCATGTAACAAACCTGCACATCCTGTACGCAAACCCTAGAACTAAAAAAAAAAAAAAAAGAAAGAACAAAAACGAAAGAATGGAAATCTTTTTAGAAAAGTGTGTCACTGAATTGGAGGTGGAAGCCATAATGATCAACAACAATAAATTCTTTTCTTTTCCATTAGGCCATGCCGGGTCCCCCCTCCCCTCAGCACATTTGCACATGTGTTTGTTTACTGACCAGTGCCCAGTTTGTGAGGCTCCCCCAAAGGCAGCCTCAGTCTGCTAGTGCCTGCCCAGGATCCTGCACTAGTCAATGAGAAATCAAACAAACTGGCTGCAATAAGCCGTTTACACCAATTCCCAAAAAGAGAACTTTGGGCTCATTCCCAGAAGGCCAGGCATGTGAGTTAAAGAAGCCTGACTTGCAAACCTTCCCCCACACTTGGGATTCACTCTGTTTATTCTGTCATCCCTGTTTATTCTTTCAACGGTGGTTTCTCCATGGAGCAACGCATCACACTTCACCCAGACTGTGGAGACACACAGAAGACATCCAGAAAGAGCCAGAGAGAACACGATCCACTGATCCACTCACTAAGCCATTTGTTAACAAGCTGGTTTAGGGTTTTTCTTTTCCACAGTTTTTCAGCACTTGAGGAATTGAAACTGCCAGCTGTTCTCATCTTTAAACAAAATAGCCAGAATAATCGGGAATTTAAGCTAGATTTTATTATTATAGTCCCCTGTAGAAATACATCTGACCAAAATAATGAGCTAATGAAATAATTTGCACATCCTGACCATGCAAAACAGACACGTAAAATATGAAGTGCAGGGCCAGTCAATACTTAGTAACTGTTGATGCAGACTTGGTTTCCTAAGGTATAAAATGTGTAACTAAATGACATATAACTTCTGAAATACCATGGCACCAAGGGAGAATTAACAAAAGGCCACCAAAAAGCAGACTGCACATGAGGTAGCAGAGAGGTTGCAGAATCAGACAACCCAGACTTAAACTGGATTCCACGCTGGCTGTCACTGGAGCTGGTGGCATGTTCTCAGCAAGCCTCAGTGTTCTTACCTCTAAAATGGAGTTCAGAAAAATAAGGTTCCAACTCAGTAGATTGGTGTGGGGATTAAATAAAATTAGAAAATGCATGTAAAACGCTTGACTACAGTTTCTAGCTCACAGAAAGCTCCTAGTAAATGAAAACTACTGGGCACTCTTGTCTCACAGATAATGGCTTTAAAAACTGGGAACTTAAAATAATTTTAAAACTCAGGAAACAAGGAGTACCTCTTTGAGGGAAATATCTGACTCCCAAACCAGGTAATGGAACATCTTGGAAACCCAGACCACTCAGAGCAGACTTGTTAAAGTGCCAGGGACGGGACTCATACCCAGCTGACACTCAATAAACATTTATTGATACTGACCATGGTTTCCTCAGGTTTAAAAGTTTAAAATAAAATGTCTGGAAGAATTACAGAATTAACCACTTGTGGTTATTCCTGAAATATGACGGCATCAATGTGAAAATTCAAAACACTAGCCCCCATTAGAAAGCTGTATACCAATTTTGTTTAAAAGACTGAATGACTCTAAATACAGAGATTGCATGAAAAGCGGAGATTCGTAAAATTATAAGAACAAAATCAAGAAGGATTTCCTAGAAATGGAGAGGCCTCACCAACTTCAGCAGAGAAATTTTCTTCATTTGTCATCCCCTGACTCCTCAGAGTGATGTAACAATGCCAGGGAGGTGTCTGCATATACCCAGGGTGAGACCACCAACGCTTTGCATTTAGCCAAAGGAGTACCAAATTATGGTGCAACACTGGCTGATTGAATCATTCGGAGTAAAATTCAAACAGATAAACTCACACAGGAGAGCTCCCACACATAGATGGAGAAAATTAAGGGAGGCCATAGTTTAAAAGTTTTCTTTTTATCAAGGTAGAGTTTGCAGTGTGACAGTGATTAAGCTGTAGGGGAGGCTTTTAACAGAATTCCCTATGGCCTTCTACGAACTCACTGAAATACATCATTTGCTTTTCTCAACTTCCTTTAAGTCTAGAAATAACCATTTATCTTAACATTCACTTTCACATGGGACAGAAGAAAAAACAAATTTTGCAGAATTCAGTGAGGCATTGATTAATTCATGTTGGTCTGTCTT